TCTGCCCGCGCGGGCCGCCCGGGCCCCCGACCCCCAGCCCCCCGGCCTCCAGCCTCTGCGCTGACGTGTCGCTAGCCCCACGCGGGCGCGCCTCCATTCATTCGCCCAGGGTGGACTCTCCACCCCGGCGCGGTGGATCGTAGCCCCTCCGTCTCCTTGATCGCCCAACGTGGTCCGTGTGGACCTCGAGGCTCGGTGTCCAAAAGCGCCCCTTCTTCCTTCTGCTCGCCAGCCGCTACTGAAGAGTTCCCACCGGATGGCTTTCTTTTCGTTTTCTAATGTCTCCCTCCTGCCCTCTCCCTTTCCCAGCCAGTTTCTGCAGGTTGGAAATGTGCTGGGGAAAAGTTACTTCGAGATTTATGCGTTTATTCATTCCAACGATTGACCTGGGGTAAAAACTTGGCAGAATGTAAAAACGTAGAAACTTTTTCCTCTTGCCAAAAATCAAAAACTTTGATTTTCCAATTTATAAAAAGAGTTTGAGTAATGGCCAGAATTCCTTTCCTTTTTCCAAGTTTCCGAGGCCCAGGGCATAAGAAGTAATGATCCACGTTCAGAAGGTGTTCCTAGAAAACAGGAAGTGATTGGTTTCTATTTAGTAGCTAGTATGGTTTGAGTAACTGTTACAGATTTTGGTTGGGGGCGCGGTGGGGACACGGGACAGGTGTTGAGACAATCTCACGGAGGTAACCCTGGCTGGCTTCGAAACCTCTGTAGCCTAGCAGGACCTTGAACTTTCTGATCCTTGTCCCTGTCCCTCTGGAGTGCTGGGTTTCAGGTGTCTGGCACCGCACCCCATCAATGAGGTGGTGGGGATGAACCCAGGACTTCCAGCATGCCAGGCATGCAAGACATGCACGCTAACAACTGAGCTACAACCATAGCCCCTTGGATTTTCTTTCTTTTTTAAAAACTGTCTTTGGGAAATGATATATAAACTACGAATAAACCGTTTTAACTCGGGAAGACTTAAAGATGCATGGTCCTAAGGACAGATGGCTTCCTGTAGGTATTGCACGTGTGGCTCTTCCCACATTTCCTTCTCTACTGAATTGCCACATCATCAGTCTCTGACAAGTGCTGGAAAGAACTGCTAGAACTTTGAAGGGCTTCTGAGGGTTTTGCCTGAAAGTAATGTAGTGTGACTTGCTGAGAAAGTTTTGTCTGTAAAACTATGACTTATAATTGGGCATTATGATTATGATTTATTTTTGATATTTTAAATCTATCTGAAAATATGTTTGAAGTCATGTATAAAATAATCGGATTTTTTTTCCCTTGCTATTAACCATGAAGATACCACATATTTTAAAATGTTTTATTACATTTAGTGTGTTGTGTGTGTGTCTGTGTGTCTGTCTCTCTGTCTTGTCTTTCTGTATGTGTGACTTGCAGTGCATATGTAGAGACTAGAGGACGCCTTTCAGTGTGAATCCTAAGGATCAAATTGACATGGTCTGGCTTGGCATCAATTGCCCTTAACTCACTGAGTTTGAGTCTGGCCTCCCTATTTTGTGCCTTTTGATATTAGAAACATTCCCTTTAATATGCAGTAGTTAAGACTACTAATAAAATAATATAAATATTGTTCAGCTGACCAGGGAAACTGAATTACTATAGGCAGAACATTTTTTTTCTTTCTTTTATTTTATCTATTTATTTATTTTTATTGTTTTTTGAGATAGAGTTTCTCTGTGCAGCTTTTGACTGAAACTCACTCTGTAGACCAGGCTGGCCTTGAACTCATAGAGATCCACCTGCCTCTGCCTCCTGAGTGCTGGAATTAAAGGTGTGTGCCACCACCGCCTGGCTTAGAACATTTTCTTATCCATACCTGATGTTTAAAAACAGTGATGAAAGTTAAGTGTTGATTTTTTTATTTTATTTTCAGGGTCATTAGCAGTGGCTCAAGATCTTACAGAAGATGAAGAAACAGTGGAAGATTCGATAATTGAAGATGAAGATGACGAAGCTGAGGTTGAGGAAGATGAACCCACCGATTTGGTTAGTGCCATATACTGTATAGGATACACGAAGGTGGGGTCACCCCCAATTTTGAGGTAGTCTCACTGTAGCCCAGACTGGTTCTAAACTTACGGTAGCTGGGGATAACCTTGAACTTCTGGTCCTCCTGCCTCCTCTTCCCAAGTACAGGACATGATGTGTTTTATTTGGTGTCAGAGATTGAACCCAGGGCTTCAGGCATAGTGGGCAAGTACACTACCAACTGAGCCCAAGAAAATGTTCTTCTTATTGGCAAGTTAGGTAATTTTTTTTTTAAGTTATATGAATGCATGGGTACTTGCATGTGAGTCCAAATGCCTGAGGAGGCCAGGGGTATTTGATCCCCTAGAACTGGAGTTACAGACAGTTGTGGGTTTTAGATATGAGTCCTCTGCAAAAGCCCTATGTGTTCTTAGCCTCTGAGCTACCTCCCCTGGGTTGAAGTTGGCCTAAGGGCAAGTCATTAAGAATGAACACAAGGATTTTCTGGAGGAGGGGAGGAGAATCGATGCACTGATCGTTCATATGTGAATGGAGGAGAAGAACAGTGTAGTGGGGCTAGCACAGACCTGAACTGTTAAGTTTGGAACCTACAGTGCTCAGCTTTCTAGGTCTGTCTTTTTTTTTTTTTTGTGCTTGCTTACTTTCATTCAGTAACCTGCCGTGACTCCCGTGGGGCCATCTCTACTATGTAGCAAGGCTGTATTCCGGTACTAGATAGAACAAGTGCGATATTTTCTCTGCTTTCTTAAAAAGTTGATGTTCTTGTGGATAATGTGAGTGTTTTGGGAGCAGGAGATAAAGAGCAGGTGATAAAAATAGGCCGTATGAATAGTAACAGTTAGAGAAGATCTCTTAGAAGTTAGCTCTGATATTTGTACTCTGTAATAGTGACAATATGAATGTCTGGCTCAGAGCTGGAGAGACGGCTCTGCAGTTAAGAACACTGGCTACTCTTCCAGAGGACCTGGGTTCTTTTCCCTGCACCGACAGAGCTACTCACAAACATCTGTAATTCCAGTTCCAGGGGATCTGATGCCCTCTTCTGGTCTCCATGGGCACTGTGCACGTGGTCCATAGGTACACATACATGCAGGCAAACACATATATATATAATAAAGTTCAAAAAAAAAAACCAGCTCAAATTGGAGTCATTGCTACAACATTTTTCCTGCTAATGCCTACCTCTTAAGCTGGTGGTTTGCTCTTTTTTTTTTTTTTTTTTTTTTGAGTTAACATTTTGATGTACAGGCACATGGTGTTTCATCTGAATAGAATACCCTTAATGTTTATGCTTTGCTGGCTCCCCGCTTTGAAGAGACCTTTACTGGTGATCTGTGCCAAGCCTTATGCTTGGAAGCTGTGCATCTTCAACTCATTTCATTAGAGGAGCAGCCTTAAATAGATCACCTGTGCTACCTGCCCTGTCCTCTGCTTATGGAGGTGGTCTGGGATACACGGACTCGTCTGTGCTGTTGTACCAGGTAGTAGGCACTGGGCTTTACATTCCTTTGTGACCTGAGGTAAATCATAAGGTTATTATCTTCCTGTCCTAAGCTTCCTGTGTTGTCATCTGTTCTTGCAGACATTGCTAACTTTAACTCCTGTGTCAGTCCTCTGGCAGCAGTGTTGGCTCTGGTGTCAAAATGAAGGCCTTCAACAGTGAACCCTCAGAGTTCCACCTCTGCATCTCCTCCTGACAGTGTTATGCTCCGTCTAAGGATCTCCATCTCACCCTGTTGATCGGACAGGATTCTTTGCTTTTGTCACCTCCGGCATTGGTCCTTCTTGTTGGCATTCGGGTCTGGAGCTGCACACATGCAGATACACCATCTTCCCACCTTCAGTTGCTACTTGCTTTTTTTTACCTTTGCCGGTACCTGGTACTTCCTAAAAGAGTAATCTGTGCTTCTGCTCTTATGTAGCTTCATATTCGTTACCCATCAGGATCTGTCCTATATGCGTAGTGAAAGTTGCTAAGGTCACCAGCAACCTCATTGCCAATTCCTGGCCCACTTTCCTGGTTGCATAGTTCAGGCCCTTTTTAGCATTTGCTGTTTCCTGCCTTTCTCTTTCCTGCCTACTTGCTGCTGGGATTCTCTCTGCTACCTTCTTCTGGTTACACCCTGATGTTGGTAAAACCTGATTTTAACCACTACAGCCTTCTGTTAATAGCTTTCAGATCTCCTTTCTAGCCCCTTACCTTGAGCTCCACAAATACTGCCACCACTTTGCAGGATAGTACACTTCCAATTGCATGTGCCCACAGTGGAGTCCGGCACTTACCAGCTGTGCGTCCCCATAAATGAGTGTCTGCTCTCATGTGGCTCCAGTGGATTGGACTGTTGTCTTTTTCTTTTGTTTTATTTTGAAGTCCATTAATCGAATCTTAGTTGTGATTTCTCTCTTTCACTTTTTTCCCTCAAGTATACTTTGCTATTTTATTCTTACAGAATTTGTTAGCCTTCCTATCTCAGGTATATTTGCCTACTTGCATCTTGTATTTTGGAGACACTGTATTGCCCAAGCTGGCTTCAAACTCCTATGCTCAATCAGCAATCTGCCTGTCTTCAAAAGTCATATCTTGCCTTGTGTATTCCTCAGATCTGGGGAACTCTGTCTCTGTAGAGGGGTGTATATTCACCATTACCATACCATTTCAATGGTATTTGACAGATATACCATTTCAGTGGTGTATGGCTGATTTTAATTGGAATGTAAATCTTTCTGGGCTGCTAATAAGGTGCTTGAAAATGGGGCTAGGCAAAATGTTGTTACTGGCCAAATCCAGCTCTGCTCATCCATTTATTATCTGGCTGCTTTCACACAGCAAAAGCAGAGGTAAGTAGTGACGAGGAGGGGGACCTTATTATGGTCCCTCCTTAGAAGGAAACCAGCTTGCCAGTCTCTGTTCTAAGGACCTTGCAGTTCAAATTGTGGCTAGATTCCTATCCATGATGGCATTTACTGAATGCTTATGAGAAATTGAAGCAAAATTTCAGTCTTTACCTGAGGTAGAGCTACCAGATTCCCAGTGGCTTGGTGTGCACATTTTCATGAGCTGTTCTATAAGTTCTGTTTAATTGATGAGGTAGAGCAAAGTAATACCATTATACTTACTTGGCTGCAGAGATGCTGTGTTCCAGGAGGTAGCTTTCCCAGGGAGAGGTTCATTGTCTTGGGATGTGCTGACTAGTGATTTCCCCAGTGCAGAAAACTCCACTGTATAAATTGTGATAGTGGGAGACTGTGTTTGTGATCTCATAAAAAAATAAGAAATTCATACCACCAGTACCAGCAAATCAGTATTTTATCCCAGTCTAGTGAAGTCTGTACTTCAGTGATTTTTTTTCCCACCCTTTTCACAGCAATCTGTTTTTGATGTTGTTGCCCTTAGGCAGAAGACAAAGAAGAAGAAGATGTGTCTGGTGAACCGGAAGCTTCACCGAGTGCAGACACAACTATCTTATTTGTAAAAGGAGAAGGTAATGCAGAATTATCTGTTTAATTCTGATCTTACGTTTATGAACACTGTGTGGTAATGCTGGTATTTAAAGGGGAAAGTAAATGTTATTTGGTTTACTAGAAATTAAACATTCATCTCAAAAATACTTTAAAAAAAATGTATGTGTGCATGTGGGTGCACACATGCCAGTGGGAGCATGTGGAGGCTTGAGGATGACTGCAGGAGGCCGGCCCTTGTGCCAGGGCTTCTGGGGACCAAACTCAGGTTATCAGGCTTGCTTGCTGGCACTTTGACCCACACAGCCATCTTACCAGCCCCAAAAGTACCATTCTTGGAACTTTTTCCAAGCTGTGTCAGTAATACCAGTTTGTTCTGTTTTGATGGCTTGAGTTTAATCCCTGGAACCCATGTTAAAGAGCCAGCAATCACACAAAAAGCCCAGTCAGGGTGGCTCATTGAGGCTGTGAGGCAGCTAGCCGGGAGTAGGCAGCCCTGCAGAAACAAGACGGCTCTTCCTGAGCAAGTGAAGAGGAGAACTGACTCCCAGAAGTGGTTCTCTCTTCTGTGTGTTTACATCCACACTCACACCCATACTAACTTTTAAAAGTAGTTTGGTTTGTTGGTATTGAACTGAAGGTCCTCCTGCCTCAGCCTCCCAAGTGTTGGGATTACAGGCATATATCTTCAGACCTGTCTGGAATTTGGTGGTATTTTTGAATGATTAAATATCAGTGAAATACTAAATGTTTACAATTAGGCTTTGGTTACAGCATAGTATTAATTTAGAAAGGAATATTAAGGTTGCATATTTCTTGCATAGGACAAGAAGTGGTTTTGAATTTTTTTTTTTAAGTTTTAGAATATTTTTATAGACATGAGCTATTTGTAGGGTGGATTTGTTTCATGTGCATCACTTGAGACTTGGATTTTCCACTTGTAGCATCTTGTTGACCCACAAAGGTTTAGATTTTGGAGCATTTCCAGTCTTCCGGCTAGGGCTACTCAAATTCTTGAGTGCATTTATTTATTGAGGGCTTTGTGGATAGCATTGTTCTTTATACATTGCAGTGCTTACTTAATCCCAGCAAACCCCGAGGATATAGTTATTGGTGGTTTTGGATTTAGAAGAGTTAAGAAACTTGTTCTGTGATTACTCAGAACATAAACTAGAGTGCAGAGACAAGATTCTAATAACCCAGTCTGTCTGTAGCCTGTGTTGTTCTAGGTGGAGTTCAACTATTAGGCTGTTGTACAGTGTTATGGAAGACATAACAACAGAAACCATGCATTTTCTTGGTCTTAAGTGTTCTGTTTTCCATATATTCCAGCTTTATGCCTGCAAAAAGTGATTTGATTGCTGGGGATGTACTCAATAGTTCTTTACACACCTTGAAAGTACAAAGCCCCTGTTCTGTTCTCAGCACTTAAGAAAAGGGAATTTAAGTGTGTGATGACCCTCCTTCATTTATTTTTGTAGTAACATACTGAGTTATATAAACCTCTTGCATGATAATCTTGCTGCTATGCTTTTTCTTAGCCTCTTAATCTGGATGTGATTAGGCTGAAATTGCAATACCCACTTTATCTCCTAAATTGGAATCCCAGAGAACAGACAAAAGATTTTTAGTTTGTAGTATAGCTCTGAATCAGAGCTGGTAGTCATACTAGAGTGCTCTGGTGAAGAGAATTCTGAAACCAAGTCCATGTCTGTGTTTCCTTTTGAACTCTGAATGTGCTCTGACCCCCATCCCCACCCCTCCTATTTTGTGTCTTAGATTTTCCAGCAAACAACATCGTGAAGTTCCTGGTAGGCTTTACAAACAAGGGGACAGAAGATTTTATTGTTGAATCGCTAGATGCCTCATTTCGTTATCCTCAGGACTACCAGTTTTACATCCAGAATTTCACAGCTCTTCCTCTGAACACTATAGTGCCACCCCAGAGACAGGCGACTTTTGAGTATTCCTTCATTCCTGCAGAGCCCATGGGGGGACGGCCTTTTGGTCTGGTCATCAATCTGAACTACAAAGATTTGAACGTAAGACCCTTTGAGTTGTGTTTTGTTTTTGTTAGAGACTGCAGGGGACAGTGGCCATTGTCGAATGCTTTTCTGTCTGATAAGTGCTTATACAAAAAGGATTGCCTATCCGACTCTAACTGTGTTTACAAGGTGGTGAGGGAGATGGCCAGAAATACGCAGCAGCACAGTATGAATGTGCCTGCCTGAGCTCTGTGGTACCAGATGCTGCTGTTAGGATCTTGACAAGGGCCAGGAAGGGCGAAGTGGAGTCTGCCTGTTACTTAGATGCTATTGAATAGTTTGTCCTGTCCCATTTTGTTGTAGACATTTTGCCCATTTAAATGCTTCTAAAGACTTTGTTACAGTTTTGCTCTTTTGTATGCTCATAGATAAAATATAACCCACTTTTGCTGAGCAGTGGTGGTACATGCCTTTAATCCCAGCACTCGGGAGGCAGGGCCAGGTGGATCTCTGTGAGTTCAAGGCCAGCCTGGTCTACACAGCGAGATCCAGGACAGGCACCAAAACTACACAGAGAAACCCTGTCTTGAAAAACAAAAAAACAAAACAAAACAACAACAACAACAACAACAACAAAAAACCCACCCACTTTTAAATACAGTTCTAGCAGCAAAGTTTATGTATTAATTTCATTTAAGCCCAAGAGGAATCCACTACTGTGGGCCAGAGATCCCAAGTGACAACTCTTACGTTCTCTATTGCATGAGGCTGTGTTTATCCAATTTCCTTTCCCAAGAGCATCCTTTGAGGAGTGGGTTCCACCTTCCCTCACCCCATTAATGTGTTCACCTTGTGTCTTCAGCTAGGCCCTGCGTTGTGATTAGCACAGAGGAAAAGCTTCTCATTCTGTCTCAAAGTGACATTTAAATAGCTAGAGTTACTTCATTTTGTGTCCATCATCTTGTTTTCAAGTAAGATTGAATTAAGTTAGGTTCAGTTTTAAAGTGCTACATTTGTGGAAGAACAGCCGTTGTGTGTCTGGTGATTCCCTGTACTAGAAAACTAAAGTTTTGTTAAATTGTCAAAATTGTTTTAAGATGATAATAGAAAAAATACTTTGGAACTGGAAATAAATCACTGGTCCATTCCTTAGAGTGGAATTGGTTTCCATTCCAGTTCAGTGTAGATCATGGACCTGACTTTGTCCAGGTTTGCTTTGTGAGTGGTCTGCTCCTGCAGCTGCCACTGAGCAGCTCTGTGGGCTCTGCTTCTTCCTGCCAGTGCTCTGTGACCTTCACTGCTGTCCTGGCTCCTGAAGCCACCACCTCCCTGCTCCCTGAAGAAAGTAGAGGGTGGTCTTGGCAAGTTTCTGGGCATGTTTATTTTATGGGGGAAATAACATCGTAAGGTTTTGTACCTGGCGTTGAGTCATGCAGTTACATGTGACTTTATTGTCCCTTATGACTGATGGGAAAGTTAAGTCTAGTAGGATAACAGTTTGAAGGACACTTGTCACTTTTACTCTTTCAGCACATCTCATATGTGATCTTTAATGTGTGTTTTTTAAACAGGGCAATGTATTCCAGGATGCTGTCTTCAATCAGACAGTTACAGTGATTGAAAGAGAGGACGGGTTAGATGGAGAAACGTAAGTAAAGCAGTCCTTGTGTATCTGGAGCTCACAGATTGAGCTGGAGGGCAGTGTGCTCAGATCTCAGAACATCTTTAAATGGTCAGAATGCAATGGTCCCTGCAGATTTGGAATACTTACTACAGAGTCCATATGTTACGTGCTTCTTGTGCTTATTAATACAAGTCAGGAAAGATGGTTGAAACTGGAAAATTGCCTTTACAAAGGTAGTAGTTGACTCTTCTCTTCCCACATCTCTTGTTTGAATTGAGCTTTAGCCCATCTAACATGTCTCTATGATAATCACACAAAATAGGGTTTTTTCCTTGAGAAATGTTTTTTTTGAGTGAAGAATCATTTGTGAACTTAAATGTGACTGACTTGAAGGGATTTATAAGGCTAGTTATGAAAAAGGATATAAATGTAAGGCAAACAAAACTACTGAATTATCTTAAACTGGGAGTTTGAAGTAAAACACAATTTAGATGGTAGAATTTTTTATTGACAGAGTGTTCTTAACTATAAATAAAAGGAAATTTGTAAAGTAAATGTAAAAAAATGTAAAAATTTGTTTCCTAGAATTAATTAAAATGCTGTTATTTTTTTTTCCTACAGTTTATTTGGAAAGCTGTTGTAGCATGTGTTAGGTTTTTTTTTTTTTTAATTAGATATAGTATGTATGAATTAACATGAGCTATATTTTCTTTTTTTGTACCAGAATTTTTATGTATATGTTCCTTGCTGGTCTTGGGCTTCTGGTTGTTGTTGGCCTTCATCAGCTCCTAGAATCTAGAAAGGTAATTATGAATGAACAGCTGGGAAACCACACCCAGCTGTGACAGTACTAATACGCTGGAGTTCTTACTGTAGTTTGTTGTGCCTTTTAAAATAGTCCCCAGAGATGAGACTTTGGGTGTGTAACTTGAATTTGTTTTGAGATGTGTGCTAGTTACTTTCTCTAAAGTGATCTCTACTTTCTCATTGTAATGTTCCTTGAGTTCAGAAAGATTTTCTTCCACCTAATACATTTTTCTCGTGAATGGATTGAATTATCTGTAATTGACCAATTTATTTGGGTTAGAATTCTTAGTGAGGGGGGGTACTTTTTTTGTGTATTCAGAATTTATAGACTATGTAAAACTGTTTAAATAGATTATCAGAGTTTCTACCTGCTAGGCAAGCATTCTACACTGAGCTGTAAGTATAGCCCTTGGTTTTTGAGGGAGTTTTTTCTGTGTAGTTCTGGCTGGCCTTAAAGCCCAGTGTAGCTCCCTCTGGCCCGGCATGATCGGTCCTTCTGTGTCCTCCCAGGTGCTAGGGTTACAAACTTTCCCACAGAATTTTGAGATAGTCCTAACTATGTAGATCTGGCTGGCCTCAAACTCATGGAGATCCACCTGCCTCTGCCTCTTGGGTACTGGGATTAAAAGTGTGTGCCACTGCACCAGCTTCCTGCACAGATTAGATTTTTAAATTTCAGAGCAAGGCTAGAGAAAATGGAATTAAATTGGTTTTATAGTCCAGTATTGCAGCAGATATGCTATAGAGAAAGTCTCTCCCTCTCTTTGTTTTGGTTTTTTGTTATTTGTTTTTGAGACATGTAGCCTACTCTGACCTTGAACTTACTATGTTGCCAAGGCAGGCCTTGAACTCCTCATCCTTCTGCCTCTTCCTGCAGTGTCCTGGGATTATAGATACATCCCACTATGCCTTGAAAATTTCATGCCATTAATGAATTCATTATAGTCAGCCTATGTGAGATTTTGTGTGGTGGTATTTTTTTGGGGTTTTTGTTTTTGTATCTGTGCCTACTTTTTAATTGTATTTAACTACCGATGAAAGATTGCCTGCTTGCAACATTTCAATAATTATCCTCAGTTTCACTGACTGGAACTTTATTTATTTATTTATTTATTTATTTTGGTTTTTCGAGACAGGGTTTCTCTGTGTAGCTTTGCGCCTTTCCTGGAGCTCACTTGGTAGCCCAGGCTGGCCTCGAACTCACAGAGATCCGCCTGGCTCTGCCTCCCGAGTGCTGGGATTAAAGGCGTGCGCCACCAACGCCCGGCTGGAACTTTATTTTTTATGATCTAATTCCTAAATGGAAAGAAAATTATTGGGTAAATGGTGTTCTTATTTGATCTGTCAGTGGTATAACAACAAATTAGGCTCTTTACAGACTGAAAATAGTCAAGATTTATTTTTTTTAAAGCATTTTCCGATTACACTTATTTATTTTTGGGTGGGTATGTATACACATGCATTCACATGTGTGCAATTTGGCATGTGAGAAGGTCAGAAGTCAACTTGGAGAAGTTGATTCTTCTGTCATTTGGGACACTGGGATCAAATGTAGGTCATCAAACTTGGTTGCAACCATCTTTACTCGCTAAAAAGACATGGTGTTTTCATCCTTCTAGCAAATAAAATGTATGTTAGGGTGTTTGAAAACAAAAGAATGTAATTTGTCTGCTAAGATACTCAAATTATATGTTGATCAATGTTTTTAAAATTAGAATAAACAATGATGTGACATATTTTTGAAATACATCTTTTATGTTCTTGTAGCGCAAGAGACCCATACAGAAAGTAGAAATGGGCACGTCAAGTCAAAATGATGTTGACATGAGCTGGATTCCTCAGGAAACTTTGAATCAGATCAGTAAGTAGCCTTACAAACTGTGAAAATTTTTTCTCTAAATAGAAACTAAGTAGTTTCAATTCAGCAAAAACATGCTTGGTCAGTACTATTTACCATTGATCATTTCCATTACTTGTTTAGACTCTGGTGTAATGATTAACTTAAAGACTTGTTCTGTGTATAGTGTTTTTATGATTGAATGTAGAAGTGCATTCAGACTTGCAGCTTGATTGTAAATGTCTGAGTTCTCTCTAATCCGTTTCCTGTCTTTTCCTCCCTGTCGCTTCAGTGCAGAGTAGAAGAGGTGAGGTGGTTCATTTCTTCATGGGCTTTGCTACCGCAGTGGGGGCTCTTGCATAATGCATGAGGAAGCAAGTTGAATAATGGAACTGTAATTTTGGGGGGGAAACTACCACAAACTACTTTTTAGTTTTTCAAGACAAGGTTTCTTTGTGTAGTCTTGGCTGTCCTGGAACATGCCCAGACTAGCCTTGAACCCACAGAGATTCAAAACTGCCTATAAGCTACTTTTGAAAGAATGGATCTAAAATATTACTTAATATATTCTGTTTTGTTTTGTTTTTAAATAGGCAGTTTGGTTTTTCAAGACAGGATTTCTCTGTAACAGCCTTGGCTGTCCTGGAACTCGTTCTGTAGCCCAGGCTGGCCTTGAGCTCACAGAGATCCGCCTGGCTCTGCCCCCCAAGTGCTGGGTTAATGGTGTGCACCACCACCACTCCGCTAGCCTTCAGTTATTTTTGATAAACATTTATTATAAAATGTATCCTAGTAACTTTTTTAAGAAAAAGGATGTTAGGCATAATCTTTCATTTCATAGAATAAATAAATAAACCTCACACCTTGGTGAAAGTATCCTTTTCCAGTTTTTTTTCCTTCAGAAATCATTTGGTGGTGATGACAAGATAACCGGATCTTGTATATTGCCCAACCTGGCCTTGTATCTGGTTTCAAATGATTTCCGGCTGCCACAGTTAGCACATATCACCAGGGTGTATACATTTTCTTTATTCTTTTTGGAAAAATATTAGCTTATTTTACAGTGAGCTATTCTTCCTGGTGCACAGAGTGCTCCTAGAAAATGAGGAGAGGGTATGTCCAACCTTTTTTTTGAAACAGCCTTTGTAGATATAGCCCAGGCTGGCCTCAAACTCAGCTTCCCCAGGACTGAGATTACAGGCATGAACCACCATACCCATCTTGGCCCTCTGTTTTTAAAAGAAACATATAGATTATTTCTTTTATAGAATAGTAGAATCTCAACACTACATATATTTCTGTTAAATTCTAAAGTGATTCTGTGTACTGGAGTGGTTTTAGCTTTGAGGTACTAATGTTCTTTGCTTGCTTTTTCCAGATAAATTTGTAAATTGCCCAAACTTATGTGCCCACAAATACCAACTAAGTCTTGTATTAGTGTCCAGCAGAAGTATGCTTCAAATGTGTCATATCTTTAAAATGTTTGTATTTGTTTTTTAAGTAGAATCTCATAGTAGCCCTTGCTATAAGCTTTGAACTCCTAATCCTCCTGCCTCCACCTCCCAAGTGCTGGGATGTGGCCCACCATGCCTAGGTCTTTTAAAGTATCTTTAAACTCTTGCTTTTGCACATATAAGCATGTTATAGAATGTGCATGTGTGCATGGTGTCTGCAGTAGTAGATCAACCATTGTCAGACCATTTCCTACATTAGATGGGAACATTTTATTTTAATTGGTATCACCCTTGAAGGTTATTTTTAAACTTATTTTTAAAACTTAGAGCTAGGTAAGAGACATTTGTTACCAGATGGGTGTGTGTGTGTGTGTGTGTGTGTGTGTGTGTGTGTGTGTGTGTGTGTCTGCGATCTGAGGGGGCAAAACACTGTTGAGGTAGTTAGCTTCTTACTTGCTCTCTTTCAGATAAAGCTTCTCCAAGAAGGCTGCCCAGGAAGCGGGCACAGAAGAGATCGGTGGGATCTGATGAGTAAATGTTCTTTGTGCAACAATTCAGTCTGTGCTTCCCCTGCCCTAATGTTTTTCGGCCTGATGGGAATTAGTGCAGAGAAGCCATATCACCATAGGAGGCAACTACTGCTTATGTGTGGACTGAGCAATCAGAGTCTGTGGCGATAATATTGTGAAAATGCACTGCATTCATTTTTCTAAAGTAACAAATTTGGTTTTTTTGGTTTTGTTTTTTTTTTTAAACATTAAACTGTGTGGGTGTGAATGTCTGAGCAGTTGTCTTACCAGAATCATTGTTAAACTACCTGAACCACGCCTTTAGAATATTCAGCAAAACGCTGGTGCCGCTTCCCTTGTGGTATTTTCTGAGTTTTGCCCCCAAGCTCAATTCATATTTGTTGTCAGTGTGGTTCTAGATGTTCTGCCGTGGATCATTTTGAGCAAATAATTGGTTTATTTCTTGGAATTGATCAAGCTGACAGCACAAACTGGCCTTTTGCTTGCTGTCTGCTACAGCTTATATTCTAAAGGTACAAGCAGGAGGGACTGCTCCCTGAGCAGCGGAGGCATGCTGGGTATCTGCTGCTCTTTACTGTGTGCGCACCTTCAGGAACTCACCAGTGGAGTCAAGGAAGTTTGGAATCTCTAGCAACAAAATGTGAAACCTGACAGTTCTATTGATGTTGGTATATAAATCCTAATTTTACACCTGTTTTCCTTTTTGGTTTCTTTTCTTTCTTTCTTTTTTTTTTTTTTAACAAAAGTAGTTTGCGCAAACTGGGTTGTTGTGTTGTCTGTTGTTCCTGTGACCTGGGGGAGCTCTGGAGTGGCCTCCTTTCTTTGCCTCTTTGCTTGTTGTTGGCTTTCAGCAGTGCATTTTGTTCTTAGAAACAATTTAAGAAAACTTGTCATGGTTTACAGACCAAGGGGATCAAATTTTAGGGGCAGAGATACATTTTGGTTAATCCTAACCTACAAAAACATTAGCTGGAAACTTTTAAAGTAGTTACAAGATTTATCTTTGGCCTGATCTTTTGGGTTTTTTGATTGTTGACCTACTTCTTGTCTTTGTTAATGTGGAAAATTCCCAAAATTTAAGCACTTAAGATTTCAGGACCAAAGTTAAGTTGGTTTTGATAACAATCCTTTAGTTACTCTTGCCTGAACTAGTGAATTAAGTTTGGCATTATTGTCAGACTTAAAGTAACATTGAGTTCAGTGAATGGGTCAGAGGCTTCCCTCTGTTTTTAAGCCATAGTCTCCCTGTGTGTATTACAAGGAAGTAGTAATTTCAGTGGTTCTTTTATTCCTGACTTCCTTTTCATTGGAAGGTCCATTCCCTTCCCCACACATCTAAAGGAAAACAACGAAACAAAAATACACACAGAAACAGAACTTCCAAGCTGTTTAACATGTGAGCCAAAGCCAATAACGATAGAAGGTCTTCTGTAATTGTTAATCATTTTGCAAAAGGGGCTGAAATGTCACATTGCCTGTATTTGCATTGCTGGACTGTAAACTTTCTGTGGCTGTAATATAATGTGTGTGGGTTTTTAATTGGGCTGCATAATCAGTTTATTTTGAAAAGGTTCTTTGAGGCCTGAGGAACTGTATGGTTTTTAACTTGATGTAATATAGGAGACCCTTCTCATTCTCAAGAAACATTTTCCAGAACCTTCTGTGAATATCTCAGTTTGTTAAGCTACTGTAACAGTAAGGTATCAGTGATTAAAACCTTTAAATGGCCCCTAGAGTTTGACTAAACACCTGGTAACAACATGGGCAGTTGCAGAAACCACACTTAGAGCTGCCACGTTCTCATCCCTGAGTAATTGCCTTATACACCAGCTCTTTGTTTCTGAGGCCCGGATTAGAGCCTCGGGAGTGTAGAATGTATTACTTTTTAGTGGAGACTGGGGACAGCTGAAAACTCGGGTCTTCAAGTGCCAGGTGTCTACTATAGCATCAGTAAGTATTTAGCAGAACCTAACTCCATAATGAATGGAATTCAATTCCACACATGGTTTGTTCAAGCACACTTAATAAGTAGTCTACTTTTAAATGTCTTTTGAAATGTAAATACTTGGATGAAGCGCTTTTTTTTTTTCTTTCAATATAGTCATTTGCATCATCAACCTTGGTTTCAGAATTCATCTTTTGAACAAGTGGGTTTCAGAATCTGTTAAATGAATTTAAGGATCATGTGTATCAGACATTACCCAGGCCTTTGAGAATAACGTGTCATAAAGCATGGGTCTCACTCTGGTTGTATAGCTTCATCATTTGAATCATGTTCTATAGTAAGGGACTTTGGGACTGATACACTGTCCACTGAAGTGTTGCCTGAGGAGTTTGGAAAGGAGAAGTGAGACTTTATAAAATAGCCTAAGGGGAGAGAACCAGGTAGAAATGCGAAGTAGCAGTAACAACAGAAAATAGAACTTGATACGTCGGGTGGCTAGTTTATCAGCCTAGAACTGCTGGAAGGAGAGGCAAGCGGTACAACATTGAATAACTGTCATGCTCATATTTTGGAGGTATAGTAGATGATGTTACATGCAGGAATACAGAGCGCTCGTCTCGTAGTGCAAAGGTGTTCGCTCATACTCTTTTTATAAAGGAAAATGTGCTTGGTAGTTAGTGCATTTGAGTCATGCCTTTTGTTTGTCTTTAGATGGGGTCTTATGGCCTTGTTCAGGATAGTCTTGAATTCCTACAGTATGGTGTGAAATAATTTTAATTCAGCTCAGAACAATATATATGCTCTCAAAAATATTGATAGGCTGGACCCTTGGTTTTTCTTTTGAGTCCCAAGATTGTATGTTAGCTTAAATTGACTATTTCTAGATATAATTGAAGTACTTACACAGTGTTGGGTTGCATTTATAACCATAGATCTGTATTTCTTTAATAAATCCTCCCTTACTCAGCTTAGTGAAGAGCAACCTCATGGTCAAATTTCTAGTCAGCGGTGTATGTGTGTGATGTTAGGTTTCATGTTAGGTTACACTGAGGTTACGCTGGTCTGTGTTCCAGAGAAAATGACCTGTACAGAGTACTTCCTAAGAAGGGACAACAGGGCTACGAATTATTGTGGATAGCTAAGCAATAGTTGCTCTGGGGCATTAATTTTGTTGGTATTTGCATGCTTTTATCTCTTTTTCATTTACACAAAACCTAGCCTTGTGATTCTACCTGAAGTGTTCTGGTGGTCTTTTCTAGATGGTAGAATTGTGTAGAACACACAAGAATGAAGCTGGGTATCCTGCCTTTGTAAGGGTGTGGGAAGGGAAGCTTGTTTGTTGAACATGAGTCATGAGATGTGTTCTGTGGGCCCTCTTCTTCATGACCCCTCACAACAGCTCACTGGGGCAGCCACATTATTCTCACTTAGTATGTATAAAAAGGGTCATGGAATAAGTGACTTGGAGGCTATGTATTAAATAAGGGCTTCCAAGAGATGTCTTTTTTTAAAAAAAAAAACCTCAGTGTTCTTTCCCTGTACTCCAGACAACATGGACATTTTATAAAACCAAACATTTGGGCAGCTTACAAATACTCAATTTCCAGAATCCAGCAGCTAGAAAGTGGAGATAGCCATGGTGCTGAATACCTAGCATGTGTTTGTAACATGTACACATTGAACACATCTGCCACTTAGCTCATAGCACTGCAGAAGTGCATCATTGCACTTTGCTTGTGGTGTGTGTATATAAAATTGAACTGGGGATTTAACTTTTTTAATTTAGTTAATCACAATACACCATTTGGCCTTCATTAAATCATATATGTGTCTCCCTAGTAAAGAGTTAATGCTCTTTAAAATCATCTGGCAGTGTGTGATGGTGAGCACCTGTAATCCCAGTACTGGGAGGCAGAAGTAGAAGGATCGTGAGAAAGTCCAGCCTGGCCACATAGCAAGACCTTGTTTTAAGAAAATGAAAATGATGTTTGGATGGTTTGAATTTTTTAGCTGAAATACCCATATTTGTGTTAGAGATGTTAATAGCTGCTTGTATTATGCTGGCAGGTGGGGCCAGGTCTGGGGTTACAAGACTTCCGATCTACTTTCTATTCAGTTTGGATTTTCTTTGGGCACAATAAGACATTGCAAAGAAAGTCCAGTGTACCTGAAAAGCCCAAAGGATAGGTCTTTAGTCTTCAAGACCCAGAGGTAATTTGTGCCTATTTTGTTCCTTTGCTTTCCCTTATACCGACTTCTGTAGGTGCCTGTGACAGTTTGTCCTGCTGTCACTTCTCCCTCTGCTAGATTAGGAGCCCCAAGACTTGGGTATTGACAGCCTCTAGCTCCGTTAGGTGGAAACCTGTTACTGCATAAAGGTTAGCCTAGTCTTAGTGAGTTCTCGGCCAGCCAGAACTACATAGCGAGACCCTGTCTCAAGAACCAAGGCAGCATGGACTGGGAACATAGCTCAGTTGACAATGGCCTTGCAAGCATGAGGACTTGGGTTTGAGCTCCTGAAACCATGAGAATGCCAGGTATGGTGGCATGCGCTGGCCAGCTGTCTCAAAGGTAGAGGACAGCATTCCTAAGGATGACACTCAAGGTTGTCCTCTGGCCTCCATACACCTGCAGTCTGAAGGCATTTTAGACAAGAGAATGAGAAATACTGAAGAATGGTGTGTGTAGAGTGTAGCACAAGACCGAGTTCAGTTCTTAGCACCAAGAAATGGAAGTGGTCAAGTTGGGTGTATCAAGCACTTGCTCCCTGTTCATTCTCACTCAGTCATCCGCTGTGTGACTGACATAACCTCTGGAACTTGACTGGAGGTGTAACGAATCCTTGATGAGTATGTGCTCACCAGTAGGCTCTCCTGTGTTCTAGCGGTAATCCTCAGGACTGCAGGAACCTTAGGCTTCCCGAGGACCTTGTGGATTGGACTGTTTTTGTCTCCAGATGGACTCTTCCTTCCGTACCATCCTCTCCATCTCTGACTCTTCTTTGCCTGCTTCTGAAAGCTTCGTCTTGAGTCCTGCAGGTCCTCCTCTTCCACTGTCTGCTTTTCCTCTTGTCAGACTGTCCCTGTGCTGCCGGCCTTGCTGGCCTTCACTAGGCCTGCAGTGTTTCAGGTTCCTTTTGACTTAGCCCTGCCTGGGCAGAGCCTGCTAGTCTAGGATCTCGTGGCACTCCATGTGGCCAGAGCCATCTTCATTGGCCACCAACCCCAAGTCCCCTTTCCCATCCAGGGTCATGCTTCGGCACTAAAGTTTCATGTTTCGTGTTGTTGAGCTTGTTAGTTCAGCCCTGGGTTCTTTGATCTCAAGTATTTCCTTCAGGGCCAGTTAACTGCCTGTGGCCCTCTAGTCTCTCTTCCCACACCAGTAACACATGCTCTCTTCCGTGGCCCTCTCCGGCTCCTGTGTCACCTTTCAGCAGCACAACTTCCCTTTTAGCCTTAATGAATGAGTGACAGCTAACCCTAGCTCTGCTGTGAATTACTAATAGATTTCAGTCCTCTCCACTTCTGAGGTACCTCTGATTCAAAACATCACTTTTTCTACTTCCCAGTTTCCTTCAGGAGACCTGGAGCTGCTGTTTGAACTTAGCGCTTGCCAGTTGTGGTTTCCCAGTGTACTTCAAGCAGGTTCATCTATTAGGAAGCTTTCCAGTCGGGGGGGTTCTTGGTGGTCATGTGTCTGAAGGTGTTCTTTGGGTGGCTTTTGTGTCTGTTGAGTGAAAATGGGGGCAGTGAACTAGTAGTTCTCGTGCAGCTTTGATATGCATTCCTCATATGAGTGTCAGGATGGCTGTGCCGAGTCTGGTGAGCCTAAGGTGAAGGTGCTTATCTGTGTTGCTTCTGTTTCCAAGGCATACCCCTTACAGCTGCTTGGGAGAGCATCGCTGCAGTCTGAAATCTTTCTCAAGTGCTAGCCTGTCACTGTTGATCTTCAGAGATGAGATGCTCAAACATACCTAAAATACTAAACAGAAGAAGAAAGGAAAAAACAGTCCAGGCTTGATGGCACGTGCCTTTTATCCCAGCACTTAGGAGGTAGGTAGAGGTAGGTGGATCTCTTGAGAGTTCAAGGCTAGCCTAGTCTATGTAAGTGAGATCCTATCTAAAAAAAAAATTTGATCATGATTTTGGCCAGAATTATGTTTTTAAAAGTTAACCTATTCTCTACATACAAAAATGTTGCCATTCCAGATAACAAAGTAGTGTTGTAGAATCAAGAGGACTAACAATGAATTTCATATCAAGCTTTATGGTGTAGGCTTTTAATCCCAGCTCTTCGGGAGGCTGAGGCAGAAGGATTGTGACTTCTAGGCATGCTTGGGCTGTAGGGTAAATTTCAAGGCCAGCCTGGGCAACTTAATGAGACCCTGTCTGAAAAGGAGCTCAGCGGTAGAGAGCTTGTTCAGTATGTGTGAGGCCCTGGGTTCCATCTTCAGCACTACACACGCTCATGCATACACACACACACACACACACACACACACACACACACACACACACACACTTCACGTGTGCTGCTGGCCTGTTGACTTTGCAGATCATGGTCGTAAAAGATACATGAGGGTTCAAAGACCTACCCTCCTCTCATTCCCACTCACACTAAGAGTGGGTTTCCAGTTAATCACACACCCCACGAACCAGCCAGTTAAGCATTGTCATCTGGACACCCGATGAGGCAGCAGCACCAGGTGTGCCCCCCAGCTCAGCTCTGCGCTGTCACATTGTATGTTCCTCACAGAAAGGTCACTTGACTGGAAGCTGCAAACTTGGAGAGTGTGGCTGTATAACTAATGTTTTCAGTCTTCTGTGAAAGAAAAACATGCTCTGAAGAATTAGAAAAAAACAAGGACTATAAGAACTAGTATTTTTATGTTTTCTTCTAAATGCTTGGAACAGTATTAAATTTCAGATTAACCTTTAAATGCTAAATCTAGGGAGAGACATACCAAAATGCTGATGCAGTCTTTGTGCTAGGGTGGTGAATTTTTTTCCTTTTCAAAATGTTTGTAAAGTGCTTATATTTTATAATGAAAGCAATAAATACGAATGTTGACTTTATCTGGGCCTCCAAAGATGAGTGTGATCCTCAAAGCAGTTGCAGATAGCTTCCGTGTAGCCAAAAAGAGTGAGCCATTGCCTAAAACGTGTTAGCACACGTCCTGTTTGAAGGTCGGGATAACTAGTCCCAGAAGCCCCTACAGGTGTTTTATATCATCCTCGATGTGAACTATGAATGTCCATTCTCCCCTCCGCTCTGCACTGGTCCAGCCCCCCACATTCAATGCTGCATCCCTGTCACGGCCAAGTCAGGAACTTGACTTTGCCCTGCTGAAAATCGGAAGGTTTCATTTCCACAGACACAGTCTGTTTGTGGTGCTCCACTGTGGCCTGCAGGGTGCTCAAGGGTCTAGATTAGAGGGTCCCTCCCTGCCTTGCCTTCCCCTCACACCCTCTCCAGCTTCTCACCGTCGTAAGCCCCCACACTTACTCCAGCAGTGGGACCTGCCCAGCTTACCTCGGGGTGTGCATCACACTCCGTCCTTTGTTGTCCATGTCCTACTCCCCGATCCTTATGTTGTTTCACCCTGTGAAATGTGAACTTCAGGACCAGAACTGTTAAGGACTAGGCATGTAACTCAGCTAGATCCACTGCCTCAAATACACATGACCCCACTTTGCACATCCAGCCCAGGCAACCAAGTCGCTAGATGGAGTCTTCAGATAGTACCTCAATGGTAGGTGTTTGATGTTAGGATTTTTTTACACAGCCACACTGTGATACATATGCAAATAAGGAAATTAAAAGTACAAGTTTGCCGGGCGGAGGTGGCGCATGCCTTTAATCCCATCACTCGGAAGGCAGAGGCAGGCGGATCTCTGTGAGTTCAAGGCCAGCCTGG